TTGCGACGTTGGTTATCCTGTCTTTGTTTGAGGACATCTCGGGAGATCGCCATGGGCTTACTAGTGCGCATACGGTGGGATTCGAGGCGCTTACGAGACTAAGGGGGGAGAGTCAGCTGGGACATGCGGCGGGTTTGGATATGTTCAAGTATGCGTATGTTCGTATGGTTAGTCAATTCGGATGCCTCGTTTTGTTAATTGATGTGTGAATGCTAACGCATAATCTAGCAAATCGAATTCCTTCTGCTGAAGGGGAAACCCAGTCTGGACTCTGATCGACTAGTTGAGCGTCTCGACAGCGCAGATCCGCTACAATCCCTTATGATAATTGCATCCAAGGTCAGAAAGCTGATTTCAGAGCCAACATCTGTTTCGGATTCCTTGCAATCTGCGGGGATCACGAAGCTAGCGTCATGGATCGACTCCTGCAGACGCTTGGATTCAGAACTGTTCCAATGGACCCAAACTTTACCGGACATCTGGCTACCCCTCGAGACCCGATCACACACGGGTGAGGATGTACTCACGTACCGAGAGATGATTGCTGCGGTTATCTGGGCCCACTACCGTGTCCTTCGAATCTTCATCCACAGCGTCTTGGCAGATCTCTTCCGAGCACTAGTCTCTCTGGTTGATTCCCCCGGTATCCAGCACGAAGCGTCTCAGCATGAAGCAGATGGCCTGCGGCTAAGCCTCGAGATGGTCTCCGATTCTTGTCGGAGTGTACCATTCTGCTTTGGGGAGATTGATATGTTCGGAAACCCGATGCCATCGTCTGAGCAGGGGATGTCTCGGGTTCGAGCTTTCTACCTCTATACTATGCTGTGGCCTTTGTGGTATATTCTGTCGTGTGGACTTGCTACGCCCGAACAGACGCAGATGATCCGAGGCGTGATGGCCCGGACGGGCTCGGAAGCTGGAATCAAGCTGGCTACTATGCTGGCGGGTTATGATGGGCGGGATGTCATGTCGAGCATGCCTCAATTGTACTCTTTGGAACGGCCGGTGAGGGAGGTGTCCGTCATGTAAGTAGGGAATGTCGGACTCATGCACATAGTGTATCCCGCGGAGCTACATGAGGCTGGACAACCTATACCTGTAAGTTAATATGTATATAATCGCTACTAGTAATTACTCAACTACTGCTTCTTGGAAGAAATGATCGCAATGGATTAAACTTGGCTTGGGCCTGTCTTAAGCCATCGGCCGATCATTGCAACGTAAGTCTTACCATTGTCATCATTCATGACTCGGATTATCACTATCTGATAAAGCTGGATTAAATTCGTCCTTTGCCCAACTGCTACATCGAGGTGGTGTCTCCCTTCAGATCTTCGTAAGAGAAACAGTCAGTCTCAAAAAAAACACGTCCTTATCACCTGTCCTGGTAGCTGCAAGTTAGCGATACATAATTTTCCGAGTTCCCTTCCCTAACATAAATTAGTGCCTCTCAACCAACCAGGCACTTGCCGGATGTCCCAGGGTAGCAGTGCATACATATACTGCGCTTGGTGACGTTAAAAGTATGCACCCCATATAGTCATACCTTGATCAACGTACAAGAGGAGTTTTAGAGCAAGCCCGTGGCATCCGTTACAGGGGGTCAGCAAATGGAAGAGATTACTATCAGTCTGCATGAGTAGCTTGCTGCAGCCATTTTCCTCTGACAATCTGATTTGCTTTGGAAGCCAATTCCGGTTCTTCCACTCACCAACCAGGAAAACGACGTGTTACGTACTAGGATCCCTTAGATAATCCTTGATGCTTCTGCGGAGAACCCATGACATACTCCACCACTCTTTAGCGCCAGGCGTGCATTGCATGCGCTCTCGCATACATAGTTCTAGCCAGCCACCAGCTGGAGGGAGAAAAGCAACGATGGAAAGTCTCCCTGGATAGAGGTGTCTTAGCATGATTGTGTGAGGGGCGCCCTACTTTTACATCTGTCAGGTTGCACTTCATGTTCAGTCCCCAACTCATCCATTATGTCGTTGCTTCGGGAACTAGACAGACCTCTTCCGTAGACTCATGATGCCAATCCCATATATAGTCTTTATGTCCATCCCTAACTATACTACTACAGTCAACACCGTGTGGGTTTTAATGCATAATATACAAATCTGCAACGTCTTCCCGGTTCAACAAAATCGAATATGAAGAAATCAACACAATTTTTCCAAAAGCATCTGATCACATATGCAACTGTGTTCACAATACTACCTGATCTTCACCTGCACTGCTAGGCAGAGGTACCCAATGACCAACCCATCGAGTAAATGCTCAGCGAAAGAAAGTGCATGAGGGATATATTCCAGTGTTTCAGTTTCATCTATGAGGTACAAAGAATATGCAGTAGGGATGCTTGGAAGTAAGGCAGCCACTGAGCATCAGAGGTAGTTAGTAGCTTGGGTCCAGTATCATGTAGGTACTGAAAAATATGCATGTGGGATTGAACAGCATGCCTACTCCACAGTTGCCTTCTGGTATATTGCTTTTCAGACAATTTGCAATGGCAACTATTATCATGTATACGCATCATTGACCGATATCTTTGTGGCTGCTTGATGCACTAGAACTACTATGCATCTGCGGTGTGGTTGCTTCTACTGATTCGCCCTAGTCGACCCCCGCAACATGTAAAACATGTGTCTGGTAGCAGACACTACTAAGATTAAGTCTCTTTCAGCTGACAGAGATTGATTATCACGGTGTTTGTATGAATTAACATCCGTCAAGCTATATTCTTGTATGTCATTGAGTATATAACCCCAGGAGATATAGACACTGTTACGTAACTCTAGTTCGATTACTTGCTAGATTGCGAATACAATAATCAATCAAGGCCATGATTTGGGCTGGCTGCCGTCATTCTATCTGCATACACAAGTGTATGCGGAAATCAGATGATCCTGCAACATGCTATGCAACGTGTACAGTGGTAGCTGAGGAATTCTGCTCATCACTGCCTTCTGTGGGTAGTATTCGCCTTCTACTATGTACAGAGGAATCCGCGGGGTGCTTTGGCTCCGTGTGGATGCAGCAATCAGCCTGACCTCCTCAGCTAGCCAGGAATGTTAATCATAGAGATGGTCCTGCATTTTCCTAGTAGAACTACTGCGTCGGGTGAGGACAAGTTGATAGGCTGAGTGCGTGGGAACAAGTGAAGCTACTCCATGTAAGGTTGCCATAACTGGTTTGCAGTAAGGAATGCAGCACTCCATGGCATCGCCTGCCTTCAGTCATTGAATGCTATATAACTCACATCCTATCACCCACGGATCTGAGTATACCAAGACACTTCGCCTTGATCTCTCACAAGTCAACAAGCTACTACCCCAGTTTCACCTCAGCTTCATAGACCGGAGCGTGCCATCCTTCGTTTCGGCCCAAAATGGGTTACAAAGGTACATTGGACATCACCACTACGGTCGACAATGACGTTTTCTGCACTCATTGTCTACTCGGGCGATTCGACTCCTGGATGACCAATAAAGCTGTACCAAGTTTTCAAGGGCGAATGAATGCTTAGAAATGAGTACCGATCAGACAGTGTATTCTGAGTCACCAGCCTGTTGGTTCCATGACTCTGGAAGCGAAAAGCATGAAAAATCGGTCAGAAGTTCGAAGATAACCCTTCAATTATGAAGGGAGAAACACAGATGAAAGATGATCTGACTATGTTTAGATTGGGTGCCTTACGGGGTTGACTGAATTAAGAATTGGCGTCACCGAAGATTCTCAGTGGGAATCTCGCCCCTATACCGACGAAATCCGGTGGGCAATCTATCTCCAAGGCTCATTCGGACCCTTTGTCATTTATACGACTCCTTGCACCACTGCGAACCACAATAGTGATGTTGTCCTTGAATACATTGACTGGCAATGGGCATTCTGTATCCCGTGTATGAATTTGCTGCTACATGTTGCTATCTCCCGTTTTGTTATCGTTTGCTGATAATTACATAGGTTTGGTGAAAAGCAGAACCTCTATGAGCTTCATCGAAAGTCTAATGACTCAGACTGGGAGATCAAGCTGATTGAAGAAATGGAGCCGGGCGAGTTAGCTTCGTGCATAAACACGGAAGGTATCTTTCTCTACTATATCGAATCGGAAATGAAAAAAGGATGGGGTGTTCCATAAACCACATGATGGAGAGGAATATACAAGTATGTCCTTCGGCTCTCTCTACACTTCCCTGGAGAGACCTTGAATATCATTCATTGGGCTCACACCAAACTTGAACCGTGTAGAAAGACCTTTCGGGCAGCCGGGCGACTTTGCGGGAGTCAGCAAACTGTGTGCTGTCCAGTCGTTGGTTTGCTGAGCCTCGCCTGTTCGGAATCTCCGATGGATATGTGAAGCAGTTTCTAGCTTTCGCGATGCACAGATCTTGCCGCAGAGTCTGAGGACCATTTCAGTAGAGTTGTAGTTAGATCGTATGTTTATCCAGACAATAAGCATCGTATACTAGCTGAGTCTTATTCGACATAAATTGCGATCTTATTATGTCTATAGATAAGGTAACATTGTTGCCCTACTCCATCCGGCCACCCCGGATGTATTGACGTCATCGATCTGCACCATCTCCGGCGCTGCAGACACAACGACACACAATGCTCAGGGAGAATGGAACACAATAAAGTGAATAATTCACTGCTTATGTAGATCTCAGTTTCACACAAAGAATCATCCATTCCAGGAACGGCAAATCGGAACGTATCCGGTACAGAGAAAAGCCCATTGCGCGGGTGCCGATTAGCCGTTTGGACTGGCTAATGGATCTGGACCGCCACTTGTTTGTTCCTTTCCCAGCTGGAGACTCTGACGACATGGCCTGCGGGCTGACACGGTACAAAGTAAATATAAGTAGTGTGGATAGTACACTATTTCATCCATTGAATTTTCCTATACTACATTGTTCACGTATTTTGCTCGGTAGAATATCTCCCCTCTCCTCTCCCTCCTCTCCTGTCCTGTCCTCTTCGTTGATAAGCTTCCATTGCTCCCCATCCTCTACTCCCTGGCTAGATAAGCTCTCAGAATGGCAGCACAAAAGCCCAAGTACCCCTTGGGTAAGATTGAACCCAACTCGGCCAAGTATTTTGCCAGTTGCACACTTGGAGGAATCATTGGTGAGTAGTCTGCCATCTAGCCCTCTTCGCATCACCGAGCTTCTATACTAACCACCTCGAACAGCCTGCGGTACGTATAACCATCCCATCTCCAACCACATCCACACCCACACCACCAATCCTAATCCCAATTTCTCCCCACAGGCCCTACCCACACAGCCGTCACACCCCTCGACCTTGTAAAATGCCGCCGTCAAGTCGACCCCAAGATCTACACCTCCAATCTCTCCGCCTGGCGCACCATCATATCCAAAGAAGGTCTCCGCGGCATCTTCTTCGGCTGGACCCCCACCTTTGTCGGCTACTCCTTCCAAGGCGCCGGTAAATACGGCTTCTACGAATACTTCAAATACCTCTACGGAGACCAGCTCTTCCCGAATGCGAACCGCACCGTCGTCTTCCTAGGCGCCAGTGCCTCGGCCGAATTCTTCGCTGATATGGCCCTCTGTCCGATGGAGGCGATCAAGGTACGCATGCAGACGACGCTGCCGCCGTTTGCGCATACATTGCGCGAGGGATGGAGCAAAATCGTGGCGCAGGAGGGCATGTCGGGCTTGTATAAGGGGTTGTATCCGTTGTGGGCGAGACAGATCCCTTATACCATGACGAAGTTTGCGACGTTTGAGGAGACGGTCAAGTTTATCTATAAGACGTTGGGCAAACCCAAGGAGCAGTTTAATGGATTGCAGCAGACGGGAGTCAGCTTTTTGGGAGGTTATATTGCGGGAATCTTCTGTGCCATTGTCAGTCACCCGGCGGATGTTATGGTGAGTAAGTTGAATGCGGATCGGAAAGGTGAGTTATCCTGTTTTTCATTATAGTCGATTCATGGTGTTCAGGGTTATGACTGATGCTGTTTAGCTGGTGAGGGAGCTATGACTGCTGTGTCGAGGATCTATAGTAATATTGGGTTCTCCGGCTTGTGGAATGGACTGCCTGTGAGAATTGTCATGCTGGGTACATTGACTGGATTCCAATGGTTGATGTAAGTGACGATGAAGCTTGATCAGACTGAGAGCTGGATGCTGACGCAAATATATAGCTACGACTCATTCAAGGTGTTCCTTGGGTTGCCGACTACTGGTGGACATTAGCGTTATGTTTACTCCTTTGCACGGATAGATCCGTCTTTTTCTCATGAGCAGTAGCTTTTAGGAGTTAGTGCAATGTAATGACGATAATGAAGCTTTAGTGTGTTGCTCCTTTAAATACTAGTTTATAGTAGTGTAGTGGAATACCCCAGACTCCGCTGACCGCCCAACACCCCGACCGGCAGAACGTGACTGGCTCTGCTTCTGCTTCGGCTTCAGCTCCGACTCGATTCTCGTCCCATCCATTCCTCTCAGATCCGCCTCGCTGCCATCCAATTCACCTCGGGGATTCCCTTCTCATTTCATCAATTGCCCTGGGTAATTTCTTACCTGTTCGGAGTCACTCGCGCCCCCACACTATAACTACCCCCCCCTAATCGCGCATCTCCGAACATCCTAAATTCATCCCCAACCACTTCGCTCCTCCGACATCCCTTGACCATCAACCAACACCACAACAACACATCAATCGCGCTACCCAACCCTACCTTCTACTTCTCAATAACCACACCACACCACCCACTACCATAATGGAAGAAACCCGCCAACCTTCGACAACCTCCAACCCCCCAAGCGTCGAAAACGCCTACAAACGCAAATGCCTGGCCCTAAAAAAGCGTCTCAACGAAATCGAAGAGGAAAATGAATTGATGCGTCTCCGCAACCGTCGCGGCTGGCAATACATCCAGAAAATGCGCCTCGAGTCATGCATTCTCCTGGAACGACTGGCCAAGGTCACCGGCATGACGGAGGAAGCGCAGGCCGGCGTGAACCCGGAACTGCGCGCCCGGGCATCAGCCATGATGACGAATGTCGCAGCCGTGACGGGTGGAGAGACAGGGAAGAATGGTGCTGCCGGTGCGCCGCAGTTCCTGGAGGACGAGACGGAGGGGAGTTCCGATGAGCAACCGCCTACTGTAAGTTCTCATCTTTTCTTTCTACCTTCTTTGGTATATTTAGGGTTTGAAGGTTCGCTAATGGTACTGGATGTGATTATGTACAGCCCCAGGAAAGGCCTCTGCGCGTGAAGCGATCCAGGAAATCCAACTTGCCCAATGATGCCAATTTAGAAGATGAAGCGGCGAACAATGATAACAACACTGAAAGCAACAGCAAAGATAAAGAGAAGGAGAAAGACGCCAAGGATAAGGATGCGACGGAATCTGGCGCCGCAGCAGCAGCTGATGGTGATAACGGTAACGGAGATTCGTCGTCCTCGTTGCCGCGACTAGCCCCCGCCCCGTCGCAGGATGATATGACCTCGTCATTCCGCGTTCAACCGGGTAGTAACGGGTCCGCGAATGAAAAGGAGGGTGTTACTAGTGATCGCGGGAGCCATAACCCTGAATCTGCGGAGCAGAGGGGTGATGGTGGTGTGGAGGATGAGACGACGCCGATGGATATGGATGCCAAGGAAGAGGAGGAGGAGGAAGCTAAGGAGAAGAGGGAGGGGTGATTATTAACTTCTACCATAACCATACCCTAGACTTTTCTTTTCTTTTTTTTACTTTATTTCTACTTTTCATATGGACTGTTCTCGTTTCCTTTCGTGGTGGTCTATTTTTTTTTCTTTTCTATGTGATGTTCTGGTAGTAGGTGTTATTTCCATCGTCGGGTTATATTCCATTTCGTCTCTGGGGTTTGGGGGCCTTTTTCCTGGGCCCTCTTCTATCCTCCCTCTTTACTCTTCTTATGTGTTCTATAGTATACGATGGGCAAAAAGCGTTATTATTTCTTGTTGTGTGTATGTGTAAGAGGGGGAAGTAGGGATACCTGCCTTGCTTCATTATAGAATAGTCATCCTTTGCTCTGTGTAGTCAGTAAAAAACTAGTATATGTGCATCGATCATCATGTCTCGCCATAAATCCTTGATATCACAAGATACGAGGCCAGACAGATGATGATGGTTCATCTACCAAAAGCCCTTGTTTCAGGACGAGAGATTAACTGGTTAATCCTACAGAGTGAAAGAGCTGCACAATGATCATAATGGCTTCAGCTTAAACAAGTCTAGGGTAGATTCGGCTCAACTCTGGAGCAATCAATGGGTGTAATATACAGTTCAAGATAAGTTATCGTGCGGTGTAGAGAAACTGATACTAGATACTAAATATAGATAGATATTTATTGTCCGTACCGATGCAAGGAGGGGCTTTGCTTTGTTAATTCCCACTTTCACTCCTGTTCCCACTTTGAATGACAGATGTATGCCCGAGCCCCTTAACTCCGCTGAAGTGAACGAATACTGAAAGAGAACACTCAGTGTGGTGTGGTGTGGTGTGGTGTGGTGTGGTGCCGTGGTGATGGGGCTGTAGATGTATAGCAAAGGGTGTCATAGGGTAATGCAAACGAGGCAATAGTTGTAGTAATTGTTAGTAGAAAGGGTAGGTAGTGTTCACTCCACGCCAGCGTACAAGTCAACTACGATGTTGATGGCTGCGACTAGGATTTCTGCCGCAATGAGAACAATTACTGTGACGTGTGTTAGTTGATTAGAACAGGTTGACGCAGGGGGTGAGAAGGTGCTTACCGATCCATTCAAGATACTCACCGTGGCGGTGAGTTAATTGATCTTTGAGGACGGCGAGAAGATCCGCTATCACGTCCAACCGCTCAGTGAGCAGGCTTACGCGCTGGTCCATTTCAAGGTAACTGCGGACGGCTTGGTAAACCGGTTCTAGCTGGGGCTCGGCCCACATGAGTTCGGGAGAGTCTAGAACCGAGCCTTGCAGGTGGATGTTGATCCGTAGGATGAACAATTCGCCGATTTGCATGTTGATCTGGCGCCGGGTGAGATTGACACTGCCTGTCTGGGCGATCTGGGCGGGTAGGGGTGCGGTGTTGGAAATGGTCTCAGATACGAGGTCTTCGAATAGGGAGGTTTTGACGGATTGGGCTAAAGCGTGGGAGATGGCCAGTTTGATCATGTGGTTACGCGGGTCGCGCAGAGAGATGAAGTCGTTGTATATCCGGGCTTGATATTCGCGAGCATAGTAGAAATTGAAGTTCTCAACCTGGGTATCTTCGGGACTGAGGATGGAAGCAGCAAACTTGGAAACATCGGATAGGAATCGTGACTCGTGTGCAGGTGACATGCCCCATATTACGACGGTGCCGTAATCGAACAGGAACACTTCAGGGGTATGGATCGTCGTGTCGAAATCGGGATGTACATCTCCTTGGTGGTCCGACACGGCAGTAGTCGAAGCATGGTCCATATCGGTGGCGTGGGATTGAGAGTCCTGTAGGTCTATGAGATCTTCCCGCCGAGAGTTCGTATTATCCTGGACCTCAACCACACTGTCCGAGTAGCGGCGCTCATTAGACGGCCGTTGACTGGGGTGACCGTCACCCATGTTTATTCCATTATTCGAAAGACCCCATGTGCCATTCTGCTTCTCCTCATAGCTGTAGTCATATGGCGAGTAGACACATTCGTCGTAGAGCTTTGGGTTGGCCCCGCGGGTCTTGGAGCGAGACTTGAGAAACTTGATTATCCCTTCTAGTCGGTACGAATTGGCCGTGCAGTAGGCAGTCACTCGCGGCAAACGCTCTCTGTCGGCCTTTCCTAACTTTGCAGCGTGACTCCTCGCTGTAGGTTCTTTGATTCGGGCAATCTGCGAATAGACATCGGACGGAAAGTCATCACCACCGAGTTCCTCCTCAGCCTCAGTCACAGGATCGGGAAGCAATTTAAGTTTCTGCGCATTTTTCGTCGTTCTTTGCGGTCCGACTTTGGGGGCTGCAGCGATTGGGGTGTTTGTGGTGCTGAACGGAGCGCCATGGCTGTTCCGCCGGCGGAGCTTGCTATTCAGGGCGGAGAGGCCGGTCGGTCGGTAATGGCTCTCCTGAGAATGCGGCGCAGATGAAGAGCCGGATTGGAGAGGTCGGAAGGTGGGATCTGCGGAGGTAGAGTCATGGTATGTGCTGACAGTTGCCAATGGGTTGAAGGTGACTGTCCGCGGCGGACGGTTTCCTCGCGGTGACGTATTGGAGGAAGTCGGGAGGTGATGCTGGGGGAGGAGCGGAGAGGATTCTGTAGTAACCATGGTGGGATAGGGGGTGGGGGGATGAGGCACTGCTTAGAGCATAATCTGCAAATGAATGGCGGATTGCAGGGAGGGAGATCTTTGGTAATGGTGGGCAGATGAAATTGAACAGGAGGGAGGAAGAGGGAGAGGGAGAAAGAGAGAAGTTGATTGAGAGAAGAAAGTCGAACCGATCAAATGGAGCTCCAAGCTCTGCACGTGCGCCCGCCAGAGGCTGCCAATCTGCCCAATCCGGTGCCCCTCCTCTTTATGTTCTCTCTCTCTCTCTCTCTCTTTTTATTCTCTTCTTTCCCTACTGGTAAATTTGAGTTTTGTCTGTATTTATGAAACCCTCGTTAAAATATTCCCGACGGCCTGGTTTGGTGCTGCTTCGAGAAAAAGAAAGCAATGATCTGCAGCGTGTAGATCGTACACTTCCCCAACTTTCTACCCGGTTGTACGACTCCCGGTCAAATATGCATACAACTACAGGTGTACTCTTTCTTTATATCAGGGATGCCTCTGTACCACAATTGTCGTCTGATATCCTATTATGGTAAAAGGTTCAGTGGTACCCATTGGCAGTATCGCAAGTGCTCCGCTACAAAGCTCAGTAACAACTCCCCAACTCATCTAACCCTAAAGAGTAAATAATTGCCATGTTATGCACATCGTAACACTACGCCCATTGTTGGATCCACAAAATTGCACTATTAATATTTTGATTGATTCTCGAGACGGGAAAGCGTAAAAGAGCGCCCAAGACCTGCTATTTGCGCACGAATCCCGAGGAACCGCCAGTCGTCCTTCTCAACCCATTCAAAGCGCCTGTGTTGCGGGATTTGTTCAGCCAATTCTGCTTGGCATTGCGCCCGGTTTTGGAGGCCTTGGGCGGCAGAACCGTCTTTGATGGGTTCTTGGATACACCATCATCCAACACCCGGATAGTAACATCTCCAACCCGCGCATCCTTC